TATAAGCGACGAGAAGAAACAGACGCCGGAAACTAAGCACAGCAAGTCGGACTCGGGTTCGAACACGCCTTTCATCCCGAATAACTTTAATGTCAATCTCTCGTCTATGAAAAAGGGATTTAGCAATTTAATGACGTCGCTCGACTCGGCTCTGAAAGCTTCTCCGGAAGACGGCAGTAGCGATACGATATCTATGAGAAGCGACGTTAGCTCGGACAGCGAGAATTACGTTTTGGTGAATCTTCAGGATCAGGGCAAAATCGATGCGGTATTCGGCATCGACAATTCGATTAGGATAACGGCTGTAGAAGAGGCGACTGAAGTAGTAGAAGAAACGCCGGATACGCAAAGTGAAAAATCTATGGACAGCGTATGCAAAAGGAAGGACATAGTAAGCATCGCTAAATAATTGTGAAGAAATTGTTTTAGAGATTATTGAACGTAGCTAAAATAAAATTTTATTTTCTCATCCACAGGTTTCCATGGCAACGTTTAAATTGTCAAAAGTGGAATTTGTGCAACAGTCTTGCGGTTATTCATCTGTCATTAAAGTTCAGGTTTCTAACATCGACAATGACGAGTGTTCATCCATTCCTTGGGACGAGTTTCAGGTAAGCCAAGAGATTTATGTTTACTAATACGATATAAATAAAAAAAAATATATATTATATATATACGTTATGCTATATAATTACGCTCTTTTTAAGTGAACAAAGTTTATTATTAATTGTACTGCTACAATAAGAATTTATTCTCTTCTTTCTTTTATTATGGAATTTTGGTTATTTTCACACAATATAGCTTATTGTGCTAATTTTTATAATTGTTTAGAAATTCAAATTTTATTTTACATTATTTGTATGTAAATTTAAAGTACTTCGAGTTATATCCACAGTAAATTTTATATTTGGAATAACTTGGTAATATTTGAGTTTCGACTGTAACAAAGATCACTTCTCTATGCAATTATGTTATCATGATTAAGAAAAAAAGAAATGCATTAAACTTTTTGTAATTACAAATGATAGCTAACCTTTCCATTTAGAGTATACATTTGAAATAGCAAGTTACTTGTGCATAAGTTATTAATATTTCAGTAGTTTTACAGTAATTTGCTCATTGTTTTTACATAACCAGTTGATATTATTATATATGTATATTTATACAATTTTTGTCTCTTAACTTTTTTGCATGCCTCTCCCGCGTCTCTCCTTCTCTTGTGAATGTTTTTATGTGGCACTTGTGGCAGGTCAAGAGAAAGGTATTGGCAAAACATTCATACAATTATTAATCTTAGACACTACGAAAAATGCATGTGTTGGTATTGAGTCAAATCACATTGTTGTTATTACACTATTGATAGATTTCACAAAATCGATATAAAATATTAATATAATGCTCCAATGAGTACAAATTATAATTACTGCTATTCCACAATGACATATGTTTCTTATGCAGCTATTAGCAGATGCAAATTTCTATAAAAAAAGATGCCAGCCAGATACACGTATAATTAAATAGTAATTTATTAAGTAGTGATTCATATATATTTCTCTCTATGATAGAAACATGATAATTATTTTTTAGCAACAATGTTTTGTTAAAATAAGATAAATTTTTCAGTTTTTTTACATGCATTTGACAGAATAATACCAGACATATAGTTAAAAGATTAATCACATTCTTCATTATTAAATTAGAAAGATTACAATTATGTAAGTAATTCTCACTTTTTCATCATATACTACACAATTGACACCAACACATTAAAAATTGATTAATTAGTTTGTAACAAAATGTATGGCATGAGACTGATTCTTGACTTTTGAACATCATAATGTGTTCGCATTACAATATTTACGATAAGCAAACAGCAACACAGAACCTGATCATGCTAGGCATTGTAGATACATGCATTGTTTTATTTGCTTCGTGTCTTTTTATGGATGGGACTATCAATAATGCTTCACAATGCTATTAGATGCTATGTAGAATTGCTGCGATACATCTATATACGCTTTTGCATCTGAATGATATTTCTGCAACTTGTATGTTAAATCTTAATTCGGAGTGGCTTGGCATTTGAAATCTTGTATTAACACATTTAATAATAGGTCTCTTCATGCTAAATTAACAAATTCAATAATTTCGTCTTTAATTGTGTCACTTAATTGAAATTGAGCTGCAATCTATGAATTACAACTAACATATAAAGATATCCATAACTCATTGTCAGTATATAAATTATATTTTATCTGATTTCGTAATATAATATTAGAATTTGAGCAACAATGTAAGAGCAATATAAAAATAGATATTTTATTAGTTATATTAAATGATCTCAAGACTCATCTAAATTTAACACAATTAATGCATTCTGTTTGATAGACCAAGTTCAGCTCGCGATCTCGAGGCTGGATAGAATTACCGTCCGATTCTGACTGCAGATCACGTATTAAATTACGTTTGGATCACGATTTGAAAAATGCGGAAGATTCCCGTAAACTTTCGGATGCCAGTCAAAAAGACACGGGCGAAAGTAGTAGGCGAATATCACAAGATCGTGCTAGATTGTCCGAGCAAGACGCACCCCGCACATCCGTCATCAATGTGCATGACAAAGAGAACGTTATGAATTTATTTGAGGACAAATTAGAGATAAAAGTCGCTAACATAGCAATGACATTGTCGATGAGCTCGGTGACGGGCTTAGCGGATTTGGCGGAGGACGAGATCATTCCTAAGCCAATTCCCATACAGGTACGTATTCTCGTAATGTCGAATATCTTTTTCTTAGATACAATGTCCTTCCGTCAGTAATATAGTTCCGGTTTATTGCAAGCCTACATTATTATTTCAGATACACTTAGAAAATATATCATTACGTTTAAACGAAGATCGTCCGCCGAATAACATAACTTCCCCAGGCCCGATCCCGATAGATTTGAATATTTCCAAACTTAGGGTAGCACGGGACACGAGCGGCGTGTTTCACATCGAACCTGTTGGTAAGTAACACCAGCTGTTAAGCAAGTTGTATCATTTGTTTCTGCCACTTGCAGTTGATTGAGTTCACGTTCTCTTGTCCGATCATTATGCGACCTTAGTTACGTCGTCCTTGCGCCTGTAAATATACATTTACCTATAACTTGGTATTATACGTAGATTTTTATATTGCGCAAGTGGCAGATTTTGGTTTGAAAGTAATTAATATTACATATTGCATAACTGTTCTGTGCACCCAGGCGGCCTTTCGAATGTGAGCATTGATAAAACACACGTAGACAAGTAGTTTTTTTTAGATCTCGCTGCTTATTATTATTGCACAGCTTAAAATGATATTATTTTGATATATAAATAGAGGAATAGAATATATTAGATGTGCATTCAAGCATGAATCATAATTTTATTATGTGAAATACAAGGAAAAATTGATTGATCTATCAATATCAATTCTATTTATTCATAATACTTTTCATTATTTTATATTTTATATATTTTATATAAGGTATGTCTGAAAATATGGAAATTAGCAAAGTAGCAAAGACTTTTTTTTTGATAAATTTAAAATTATTTTCTTTTTTATACAATACATACCACAGTTATCAGTTTTAGCACTTATAAAAATAATATATTTTGCATTATATTTGATATTGGTGTAATCAGACATACATATTTTAATATATTCATCTTTTTCTAATTAATATATCTAACAAAAAAAGAAATTAAATAATATTGTATTTGTATGTTTCTGTTGGAGTTTGCAATATAATCTTCAGTGGGTCAAGTAACAATTTTCTTTTCTTGTTTTTAGTAACTACAGTAGATGAGAACCGTTTGAACAAGGCATTATTGGGTGATAATAGTTATGCTGTTAAGAATGCGGAATGCGAGAGAGAATTGAACGTTCTAAGACAATCTAGTAAGCAATTGAAATCGGATAACGAAGAATTGAAACGTCGTATGGGAGCTCTAGAAAGATTATCGGAAGAAAACGCGAGATTAATGCGGAATAAAGAGGAATCGGATATGATAAGATCTCGTTTGAGCGCTGCGGAGGACGACATCGTGAGTCTTTTAGAAGAGAAAAGAATCCTGCATGATACTATTGCGGAGCTACGAAATCAAAAACTGGAAGGTACTCCTGGAGGTAGTAATAGAACTTCGTGGTCTCTTAAGAGATAGCATACCAGTTGTTTCGATTGCTCCAAGTGTTGCAGTTCTAATAAGTCCTAATCGTTTCTAAATCTTTCTTTTGATAAATTTACGGTAGATTTACGTAAAGCGAGAGATTTTACATTTATCTAAATAAAAAGCATTGATAGTACGTAGTAGTTTTCAACTTCACAAATTAACAAAAATTAGAATGCTTAATTTTAATTTTTCTGGAAACGTTGTGAGGTCTATAGTTATTCCTTGAGACACATTCTTGTCTACCGTAATTACGCTAGCGACTGCCGTTTACATCTTTTGCTTAAAACATGAAACAGTGATAAGAGTCTGTATGTGATGCATATGCAAACTTAAATTGAGAATATCAGTTTTCTTTACCACGAATACAAAAGGCGATAAACTGCAATATTACCGTTTTTTTTTGTTTTATCATTAAATCGGTAATAATGGTATGACTTTCAGATAAATGGTAAATTGCCTGTGTGTCCATTGTTTATAGTACAGCTATAAATTGCATAGGATTGTATATATGATGCACATAAATTTTATTAAATATCTATAGATACATACTTATGTGGCATACATATCTTTCTGAAATTAGAGTAATAGTCTTAGAATATAATGAAGATCTAGATAAATTATATGAGAGAAAACAACATATTTAGGTTTAAATTATAAACTAAATTGACGAAGAAATCCGCTAGACATCTTGTTATGTTTTTCCGTTTTTATAGGTCGATTAAAGTCTACATACGTACTTGTGAAACCCGTGCCCATACTTATGTCAGAAGGATATGTATGTGCATATTCTATTTGAATAAGCAAAGTGCGCTAGTCAGTATATTGCAATGATACATATTGGTTTTACGATTTTATTATATTTTGACATCAATTTCAAGAATGTGGTGGTCCGTGAGAGCGTATTGTGAAAAGCGCAAAGATTTCAAACACATGATTGTAATTTTAGTAATATATACTAGTTGAGCCTACAGATAGACTATTTAAGTGGATATTGTGACCTCGTGGTATTGCATTATATCATATACATAATTTTATATTGACTGATTTAATGCATCTGATGATGAAAATTAATAATAATAATAATACGGTGATGTGTGGAACGTTTCAATAAGACTGTGTAAAATTCGAAAAGGTTGATTTATAGTAGTCGCACTAGAATTCTCAGTGTAATTTGTATAAAGTTAGAAATTATTAATTGGCTTGATGAACTTTTAACCGAAGGAATTGTAATGTGATGCTTTACAAAAGATGATCCCTTACAATATCTCTTTAATTCACAATCGCTCCTGGTAATAGCTCTTTCTTAGAATTTGATTTCGCTAGATTTAGTTTCTACGATGGATTGCTGGTCGATCCTATATAAATGGAAAGTATTTTTTTAATGTGTATGAATACATGATGCAATTGAAGTTTGTTTCATAATATAGACTTCTGCTGTCGATAGACACATCCGGTATATAATGCATTTTCACATGCGGTTTCAAACGCGCGATGCGTTCCCTTGACAAATATTGTTGCGATACAAGTGTAGTTATTACCGTATGAAATAATTTGCGTTTTGTACGATGATACTGTAATTGTTTGAGATAATGCAATAGGATACAGTTACCTTTCTAATATTTGACTAGTGAACGCAATGCCTGAAGATAGCATAACATATATAAGCTTAGAAAAGAACGAAAGTTGCAGTTTTTACTTTCAGATGCAGATAAACTTTTCATAATACACATATCATATTTATGAAGGCTCTTGAAGGTTTTTCTTATATATAACACATTTACATAGTCCGATAAGATTTTATATTGCAGGAACATAATATTGTTATTGCTTTTTATTTGTATCAATATTTTTAATTTTTTTAAATCTGTTTTAAATCAACTTCCTAAAGTTTGCTTGTATAGTTCCTTTTTCAAAAGTCTAATTGCATAGTTCTTTTTTATAAGTACCAAACATATTTCATTATGTTTTAAAATTGTGCTAAAACTAATTTTAATCTTTAGATTTAGATTTAAAAAACTATATAATTCTTAGAAATAGAAGTTTCTTATATTGTATTTTTTTTTATACATGTTATGATTTTGATGTATACTTTAAATATAAAGGGTTGCTTCTTTCTTCCATTTTCATATACATTTACAAAAAGGCTTTAACAATAGATACCAAATATGCAGCTCTAATACTGAAAAGATTTATATAATCTTGTCCAACTAGCTGCAAATGCATAATATAATTAATAGAATTGCTTTGAATGGTACAAAGCCTGAATATTTCTTCCTTTATATTCTTTTAAGTACTTATTTATTAATTTATATATTTATTATTAATATAAAAGATATTTTATTATATTAATAATAAAGACTTTAGGAAGTTGAATGTGATGTACGCTGATTATTCAATAATCGATAATACCATAACTCAATAGAATGAGTTGCAATTTATATAATATGTTATTTAAGTTTTATTAGATTGAACAGATACACTTGAGTTTTTATTTTGTCATATGTATATTATGACAAACATGTTTGTCGTATTACTCGCAAGAGTGATGTTCTTATATTGTAGTCTTAATTTTGACGTATTGTTGTTAACTTTATTTTAGCCATATTCTAATTTCGATTGATATGTTTCCAAGTTTAGCATTGTCGGCAGGCGAGATTTTTCAGCAAGATGTTTAATTCCATACATAACACTTGTATTACTTTGTACTCTAGTTACTCTAGTTAGTAAGATTCCAAAAAAAATGTTACATATATATATATAAAAAGAGAGAGAATAGTCATGCCATTTATGCATGAATAATGGTCCCATTTCGTAAATTGATATCTTATATCAGCAGCTATGTGATATGTCTGAAATAACGATGCAGCCATAATTTACGAAATGAACCTATTTTATATATTAGCAGAAGTATAGAACATATTTGAAAATTGTCATTTCAATATCAAAGTGCTAAGAATCCCAAGAGTGGATAATGTAATTTACAAACTTGTTTGCGGAGAACACAGAGAATTACTGTATGTTTGCCATGTTCGTTCTTTCTCCATAGCCTTTGTTGTGAAATATTATGATTATTAGATAATTTAAGTAGCATAAGTAAAACATTGATGAGAGAGAGAGATACACTAATTTATTCAATATTATGATTTATCTATGAATGATCGCAGCTTTGTTTTTAACATGGTAAATGTGACGTATCTTGTTGAAATATTCCTTTGACGAATGTATTTCAGCAATATTAAGATGCTATTATAACCAGCATTGATAATACATCACAATATGAACGAATAAGTTGCTATGAAAATTTGGCAATAACGTATATATTTGTTTTTTTTTTCAAATTTATATATTGTAACAAAAATGCTATGTTACTATTACTACAACGATAAATTAAACAAATTAACTAAAAATTTAATAATTATATTTTTAGCTTTTTTTGTGAAACTGAAAGGAGTGATAGCCAAAATGTAATTTCATCTTTTTAATGTAAAGAGAATGAATATCACTTTCTCAATAAAGTTACAAAATCACAGAAAAAATTAAGATACTTCTGTGCTGTTTAACGTAAAATATTTAATCCTCTGTCCAATATTTTCAATATTACATATAAAATAAGATGTACAAATTATATATTATTACATTTTTTAATTATATTTAAGTTTAGTTGGTTGTTAAAACATAATAGTGGTTTTTCATAAATAAGTGAAAAGTTGCCGCGCTTCGACGATTTAATTCACTACGGGTGTCGATGGGTCGATTGTCGACAGCAGACAGAAAGGAAAATATCGTAGTAGCCATATTTAAAGCCTTGTTGACCATGTTTGGACATCGCTCTTTTCATTATTCACTCAATACATAGATGTGACCGAAATTCAAAATGGCTCAGCCAATCAGATTCACTATATCGCTTTTCTCATCCTATACTTTGCTTCTGCAACCCTCAACATGACTCATCCTTCTATTACTTCTTTTACCGTGGACTAGAGGATCTCGCGTCCACGACCTGGAATTGTGCGAGCACGTCGAGGTAACCCTGACGGTCGCGTTTGATTGAGCGAGTCTGTTTGAGTGGATTTTGTGTGTGCGGCAAAGCAAGGCGGCAAAAAAAAGGTGTCACCGTGGGATTCGCAGCTGAGTGTACGTATACACAACAGTATTTACGGTCTTATAAGTAACATATAGAAAAAACTTAAACGCGTGTCGAGTGGGATGATTCTCAGTATTTGTTGTTGATCGCGAGAAACGTCGATTCGAACGACTTCGTCAGTTTGGCCGTAGCATTTCTTGTTTACTGCTGAAAGTGTCGATCAAGTACGATCTTTCTGCGAGTCGCAATCATGTTTCGAACGAAATGGTAAAGTTTTGTCTCTTACACTGTTAGATTGTCTAAATTCAATCGCTTAAAACGCGCGACGTTCGCGATGAATCGTCCGATTCGATCACGTTTGACATGCGGAGCATTAAACAGCGTCTAATCTCTGTTTTCAGCAAGGAGCACGATCATTCGTCGTTTTACAAGTTCTTACAGATGGAGCATAATCACAAAAATCTGGACTGCTATTTCTTCTACTATTCTACATGCAAGAAGGTGAGTGAATTTTTTCGGGATTATTTTTAGCTGATTTCGTTCTACCGATTTCCGTTTAATGGTATCTCGAAAGTATAAGCAATACAATCGGTCCATATTGGTGATCATCCGTTGAGGTCGCCGAGGTTAGGTCGGCCATCTTGATGCCATGTTGACAGAATTTCTCTATCATAAAATTTTAATTATAAATGCTATAAATGAAATTAATTTATTAAAATTTTGTTACATTTAGATATTTATATATCCAGATATATATATAATTAGTTGCATGTAGTCTTTTATTGTTCCATGTTATAATTTTGTAATCCCACATTTTCATTATATTACCTTATTTTAACATTCACATGTAATTTTATATTGATTCATATGTATTTCATAATTGAGTGAATTCATAATTGAGTCATGTTTAAAGTGTATTATGATATATTCATATGTTTGTAAATTATGTAATAAATGATTATTCTTACTACAATACTTTACATATGATATGCTATCTCATATAATCTCACTTGCGGTATGAACAATATGCCTTGGCGCTGCAAGTGTGTGTATTATCCTTATAAATTGTAATATTTGAATTGTGATTATTGAACAGCTTTTACGTTTTTTATTTTTATTCGTACAGGGTGACTTCTGCCCATATAGACATGAACCATCTGCTCTGGGTTGTGAAACTATTTGCACATATTGGCAGCAGGGAAATTGCCTTAATGAGCATTGTAACTTCAGACATATGGAATTGAAAGTAAGTACTCTTACTTGTAAGCTTTAATTTTTTAAGAAAATCCACTATGGTAAGTAGCAAGAAGAGCTTGTTAAAAAATGTATATTGTACTGTATTAAACAAACAACTCTTATTAGATGTGTTACAATTAAATGTTTGTGAATTTTTTACTTTATTTCGAGAGCAATATAAAGGGTGATGTGTATTTTATGGACATTTAGGTTGATATTTAGATTTATAATGTGGAGCAACCCACAATAGAGAAATTTATAAAACGGATGTTTGATTGTAACTTGTACAAAAATTGACGGTTAAGATAAAATATAATAATTACTGATGCTGTAACGATATTCAATTACAAATCTGACTCGATCATTGGAACTTCTAAGAATAAATAATTTTAATATACTTTTTATTTGTAGAAAAATCGCAAATCAATTCCTTGTTATTGGGAAACACAACCTGGAGGATGTAGGAAGCCGCATTGTCCATTTATGCATACGAGTCCACGCACTATTAGTGGTGAACCCATCAACCCTGTGAAGACCGCAGAAGTAGCAACTAAGTCTCCAAATCAAGAATGGCTCAATCGTCAGGGTAGATACCTTTTTATCGCGATAAAACCTAGGTTAACTTTAGATCGAAAGCAATGAATAAAATTGATTGATCTAGCTGCAAATTCGATTTTGAAAATAAAAATTTAGAAATTGTTTTTATTTGAAAATTTGAAGAGTATTAAATGCAATTAAAATGTATATTTCCAACATCTATATAGATAAGTGTTTATGCAAAATTATTTTTATATTTTATGAAGATGATACAAAGTACGACGGCAGCAGTACTACCGAGTCGGACCAAGGTAGAGGAAACAGCGAAGCTGGTAGCTTTATCGGCAGTCCCGCCGTCGATCCTCTCATCGTCAAATTCGAAGAAGGTATGAGGCTTTACTAGCCCCCCCGTCCATCTTTCAACGTACATTATCTTACGTCAGCTACTCTCTCTCTACCGCCTAGCTTGCAAACGAATATGAATCTCCCGAACGCGCTCGGTATCCCGAAGAGTCTGACAATCCCCAACAATCCTAACAGTCTCAACATCCCCGGTAATATCAACGTCACAAATAACTTAAATGTCCCACCGCCGACAAACACGCAATCCTCTCCCTGTCATCATACGCTGTCGTATCCGCATCATCAGCAAAACTTACACTCCCAATCCCCCGGGCAGTCTCTGTCGTCATTACAAAATCAACAGAGCTCCCCGTTACTCCAGCAACCGCCCTACACGTCTATTCATACGCAGCAAACCCCGCAGCCGCAAACTTCCCGATTTCCCTTTCCGTTCCTCGGTATAACATCGTACAGGAGATACTAAAGTTGACGTTGAAAACTGTTGTAGCTTTTGCGACGATGTATGTATAATTTTCCTCGTCCGTCAAGCAACAACAGAAAAATACTTTCGAAGAATTCACGAACAATGAAAGCTTCCAATGTTTCTCACACGAGTAGGTTGGTCTGTACATTTTGTTGCACGGATGATTTTCAATGTATTTTTGGCACAAAAAGAAAAGCAATGAGATTACTACGAAAGTATTGTTCTGCACATAGAACTGTATATTAATACGTGATATTACTTTGCTACCAAAAAGGTATACGAAGGTATACCTTTCTAGTAGCGAAAGATACGTAAGAAAAAAATCTCGTGTCGATTTTAGCGTAATACTTAATTCATGGAGTTAGGTATATTCGTACATTTCCGATATTTAATCGACCTCCATTTTTTAATTTGTTTCACAAAACCATGGATCGGTCTAATAAGATGCAACTAATGCAAAAGACTATATTAATATATGCACATCGCTACTATGAGCTGCAAAAATGCCATGACTTTGAATTGAAGATTCTATTACATTGGTTGCTCTTATTGCAGCGATCATTTGTGCGACTTACAAGCTTATTTGCATTCATTCATGTGTTGTCATATAGAGGGAAGGGGAAGAGGGATAGCATGCAATATTTAGTAAATCGATGCTTTTTAAGAATTGGCACTTAGCAGACACTTATCGGTATCGGTATCATAATGCGATCGTCGAAGCATCGTATCGCGCGTTTATTAATCGATTAACAACGATTAATCGTGCATATTAACCGATGTCATTGGTAAAAGTCGCACTCGTGTTGCCACAAAAAATTTAGTAGTGAATATCAATTTTTGCAGGGGCTGCTATATCTAACCTTTGCCTAAATTAGTCCTCTAACCGCCTATGGCTATCTTTCTCCGGCTGCGATGCGATCGGGCTCGAATTACCAGAATGGTCTAAGTTAAGAAAAATGAGGTTCAAGTGTCTCCGACAATGCGTCACATGCTGTAAGATCGCGAAAGCGAGAACTGTGCTAGACGATGAAGAAGATAGCTATGGGTCGTCGCTTTACCACACACACAAATTCTTTGCATTCATACAGATGTTGCTCTTAGCTGCGAAGAGCTGGCATTTAATTGTTAAATTCGGTACTTGTAACACGACGAGTAAAGCTGCTTATTTTACGTTTTGCGTCTTCGACCAATGAGTGTTTTGCCAGCGTCTAGGAAGTTTATTTTAAATATCACTTCGAAATATAAACCTGCATTACATCCCGGACGTGGCCGATCGAAAGAATAAGGAATATCATGTGCTTAAAGTGTAAAAATTTCGGACTAGCCGATAACGTCTATTTCATTTAAAAAAGAAGAGAGAAAGGAAAGAAAGACGAGAAATTAGTGCACTGTCCTATCGGTCACGTTCCGGGCTGTCATAAGTGCAATGGTGAATAGTAAGAAATAATTAAAATATTTATGTCCAAACCAATAAACGCGAGCACGTATGCTTTTTTCCGTGTCGCGTACTTTATTATTATATGTGAGATTGTGATGCAGAAGTTGAAAGAGGTAAGGGACAGCGAAAGAAAGAGAATGTGTGAGAGGGAGAAAGAAAGAAAGAGAGAGAGAGAGCAAGTGGAAAAAGAAAGAGAGAGAATGGGAAAGAATGTGTGAGTGATTGTCTAGCAGAGTAATAAGGAGAAGAAAAAAAAAAAAAGAAAGATTTAATGAATAACTAATATTCGCGCGCGAATCCGTGTTTAAGACTTAAACAAATTCCAACCGCGTCCTAGCCTTGTGTTTTGTGCATGCACGAATAATAATGCCTTCATATGTTTTGGCTTCTCACGTGAATTTGAGAGTTTCGGGACGGCGAAATGGGATAACATGATGTCGCGCGTCACACAGAGCCTCTACGCCTACGTCGGGCGATAATTGTGCAGATTTTTGCAGGCCGCAACGATGCCCGTTGTGCATTCACGGGGAAACTAGAAAGGCAAGATAAGAAAACAAACGGTAAAGAGTAGATTTAAAATGTAAGTCAAGCGTGACCTTTTAACGTTCTAAAAGAAAAAAAAACCCAAAAAAAAAAAACGTTCAAATCCGGCTTTAGAAGCTTGCTTTCTGATAATGTTAAACGTGAGGTTGTTTATCGTATATCAAAATAGGAGTACACAATCGTCAAGAATATACATATTATGCTGATTCACGTTTGACGAATTTTCGTATGATAATAGGATATTAACCGTTGATCGGGACGCCGGGAACGAAAGCCCATGTGCGTAACATGGTTGAGGAACTTCTGGTTAAGTCTCGGTAATCCTAAACGAAGACTGTTTAATTTAACAAATTTAAGTAACTTTTAATTTCGGCAAGTGTAATCTTTCTGCCCTCGGCGTCCCGATTGTTCTGATATATCACGCGTTTGATCTTGCAGACTGCTGGGCCAGCAGAAAAAAAAAACAGCTCTTACACACTAAATTATTTATATATCAATTTACTGATCTTGCACTGAAAATTCTGTAATCGGGGAAAGTATGCACTATGGGATAAGATACGATATGTATTGGTCTTTTACGATAGTAGCAAATCGCGTCACGGCCGAAACGAGAAAGGGAGGGAATGACGCGAGGAGACGTCGAGGAAAAATTATGTAAAGCACTTAGGGTTTTTCGAGTCTCTCTCTTCGATAGCAGATTTCTTTTTTCGAGTCAACGGTGCGTATGATTAACTAAATGACATAGAAGGCAAGCGTCATATCGTTAAGCACGTGACGAAAAAGAGGAAGAAAACTATGAAATTTTGCGGAAAAATTATTGAAATAATTGAGATGGGTGAGCGTGTAATAGAGAGCGAGAGAGAGAGAGAGAGAGAGAGAGAGAGAGAGAGAGAGAGAGAGAGAGAAAGAGAGAGAGAGAGAGAGTGAGAGAGAGAGAGAGAAAGTGTGAGACTGAAAGAAGAAAGACAAATTGATAGATAGATTGTGAACGCATACACATCACACATACGCGTATTTCCGCGCGCGAAATATGCGATGCAAATAGGAAACTAATAATCTTTCTTATACAGCATAATAATACACACATACATATATATTCTATATATTTAACTGCTAGGGGAATATTTATGATCGAGATCATTGTCGATTGTAGGGTCGCACGGGCCTTTTTTTGGAATACTTGTGCATTGGCTTCTACTCACGGTTCTCCGCGCAAAATTGCGTGTATTTCGGGCGGCAAGGATTTTGTGCCTTTAACCGTACGGAGTCGCCGGTCCGTTTTAGTTTTGCGAAATATCAGGGTTCTTACGGTCACGTTCTTTTCTTACGTACGAGAGATCTTTGACAGACACGACGGGGGGAGAAGAAAAAAAAAAAACATATGAGGGAACGAGCGTAGGATAGGTTTTTGCACAATGCATTTCGCTTCTGATCGGGACGCGCAGGTCTTTCAAGAAAGGGCGGGTTTCGATCGTAATGTATATGCGGAGATCCATGCGTTGTTGAGGAAAGGATTCACATACGAATTACGGAATATGGTTGCACGAGTTCAAACGGCAAAGTTAATAGCAAGTGCGCGAATACGAATGGAAGGGAGAAAAGCGCGATGGTGGAGAGACCGATTGAAAGAGAAAGAATGTGGCCGATAAACAATGTGTGCGTGTGAAAGTGCGAGCAGGAAGTGCGAAAGATAGTACGAAGCGCGAGGGGCCGCAGCGACGGTCCCTCCGCTGCCCTTCGACAAAGGGATTTATCCGCGCGAATAGCGTCTCGAAGGAAGGAATGACCCACGTGGTTGATTCGTTACACTTAACATCTTTTCACAACTATTAATTGTATCGAAAGCTGAAGGATCAAGAAGGATCCTGATTTGATCGGCGACGACGAATGCGCATCAGCTCGGCTCATGTTAGCAAATCGCCACGCATCGTCCGCGCCGATCATCGCGGTCTCGCGGCCGTGAAAAACTCATTAAAGCCAGCCCAGGCGATGCTCGTTGTCTCGCTCGAGTGCGACGGGCGAGACACGTGTTTTTCTTCTCACCGAAGGACGAACTCGCCGACTGATAAACAGAGTGCGATTCGAATTGTGATTTAACCGGCGATTTCACGCGGGATTGAATGTAATCTGGATGAAATGCGTGTCCTTCGTATGTTGTAAGCGTAAGTCAGCGAGACAGCGAGTGTGACTGTTTTTTTTCTACATCGCCGCGGCTTGCGAATTCGTTTAACTTATCCGCATATGTGTGTGTCCGCACGCGTGCGATCGCGCGCTTGAAGAAAAGCGCGTCTGTGCGTTAAGTTGAAAGATAAAAAAAAAAAAGTTAGAGCAGAGGATATTATATAGACATATATATTATATACTATATATATGTTATATTTAAAAGAAGGCGGTCGCGTGCAACGCGACTCCCGCCTTTCGATCTTCGCGTGTTTCTGTGAGATCATTGTTTGTAGCGATTTGTTAATTTGATTTTTGTCTACACATCAATTATAAGAGAACGCAAAGAAGCGATCGTCATCATCATCATCATCATCATCATCATCATTACATATGTATCTCATCTCGCGATTATTGTACACGTCGACGCTGCATTCGACGGAACGGAATATCCGAGGCGAACGAGTAGCTCAAATCGCGGTGTGTGAATGAACACTATTCTTTGTGGATCGGGCGAATAAATCGCGCAGCGATTTATGAAAGAACGTCGGAATGCAGATTCGTCGATGCACATAATCGCGAGCACGCATCAAAGAGCGAAACGAGTGTCTCGATCGTTCTTTCTTCCGATCTTCGTTTCTCTCTTATTGTTCTCCGATGACGTTTCTCTCGTCGAACGAACCCAAATCGACTGTCGTCTCCGATTACTTTGTATCACGCGTTCTTTTTTTTCCCCCCCGCGCTCTCCAAATTCCCTCGGCATCAGCTCGCGACACCGAAGACACCGTCGTCGCATTCACGCGCGAATCCAAGTCGCGAGTGATGATCCCTCCTCGGCCGTGCGCGCGCGACCGGAGCCGGTTCTTTACGTTCTCTCGTTGTTTCATTGATTCTCTTTTTAGTTTTCTCTTTTTCCCCGTTTTCTACGCGTTTTTCGCTCCTACGCGCGGCCTCGGTCGCGTCGCGATCATGTGACAAAGCTCTAAAACTCTTGTACAGTCGACGTAACGATTCGCGGACGGCGATCGTTCGGACAATCGGTCCTGTCTCGTGGACGAGAGGGAACCGTCCGTGGCGCGGATGAAATTCTCAGGAGCTCGCCGAAGGGCGTACGCGAGGAAGATGGGAATTATCGCGAGAATCGAATTTACAACACGATATATTTATGAAACGGCGACACTGACGTCCGCGATATTCGTTACGTCGACTTTTGGCGACGCAGAAACGCGCGTTCGTTCTGCTTCTCTTGTCTCGAACGCAAACGATAAAAGAAAAAAAAAAAAAAATCATAAAAAAAAGAAAGAAAGAAAAGCCTTTTTTCTCGGTCAATCGTGGCCGAACGTAGAAAAGGAGAAAGATTGATTGTGCTGAAGAATAAGCGATGCGCAATTTAACTATAACGAATTGATGTAAGCGAATGGAAAAATCAATACTTTTCATTGAGATGATATCTGGATTTCAATAAACTTGATACCTCGAAACCATTCGGATAATTGACCCGGAGAGAGAGCGTATGACCGGGGTGCTGCATACGGTGGCCTTTGAGTCCCTCCGAGCGTTACCGGCGATGCTCTTCTCGACGGGGCTTCTTATTTCTATTCCACTAACTGTAGTCTCGTCAAGCTTCCGAATATGCATCACTTTTATCACGATTCTTCGCAATAACGGCGATCGAGCCAAGATTTGGCGTAATTTCTTTTAGATCGGCAATGTTCGAATATGGATTCGTGTATAAATTGTTGTACAAGTAAGTATTGTTTGCTCTCAAATCGAATTGTCTTTTGACGTTAAGATGTATTTATGTTTTGCGTGATTTCGAGGGCAGCAGTGAGCAAAAGAGATCCGCGGGGAAACCGATCCAAAACTGATAGAAAGCTCGTATCTCGAAAAGAATGTATTATGTGAGTGGAGAGAGAGGAGAGAATAGGAGGCAACTATAATCGCTCATCAGCTGGATATGCTGGCAATATTAAACTTCTCGTTTAATACTTGCTAATAGAGGTTTGTACCGAAAATGTAGTCATAGAAAGTTGATAGATGTATCTGTGCATATACGTATATATGTAAGGATATATTTGTAATTTTTGGATATATTTGTAATTTTTTTTATTCAGGATGAGTGATTATCGCTTACAAGGAGGTGAGAAACATGGATTGATCACATATACGTGACGTAAGATGGATTAATTAATATTGTGGATGAGATGGAAAAAAAGACTACTACTGTAAGAGCGTTTCTATTATCAAACACGACTGTCTCAAGACATTGTTATTATTGTATGAATAAGAGCTTGACGTTGCGATGAGTTGGCCAAATAATGAAGGAATTTATGGAAAGAAGACATGAGTAAAGACATGAAAACCCGGAAGAAATGGAGATCGATTAAAACGTGATTTCAAGAAAGGAAATGTCGATTAATTAACGAAAGCGTGCGTGAGACATGGGATTATAATTTACGAGAATACATAAAACTCGGAGAGAATTTGGAAACTGCGATTGACTGCGACGGAAATCCGAAATATACACACACACATGATCTAGACTTCGACTTGATCGTTCAAATGTTCGTTTAACACGACGTAAGATTAAGTCCGTAACTTCTGGTAATGGAACGGATGAATGGTAGAGACAGATTACCGAGACGGTAATCTTCAGGTAACGGTATATGATCTAAGGAGAGAGAGAGAGAGAGAGGGAGAGAGAGAGAGCGGGAGAGATAGATAGAGAGAGAGAGAGAGAGAGAGAGCTGACTACCTCGTTACTAATCGCCATCCAATTGACATCGAGATCACTGCTCACAAAAAAAAAAAAAAAAAAAAAAAGAAAAATGAAAAAGATATCTCTGAGTAGTCCAGGCTGTTTGACCTATTGTTCTTCGTATGTTTCTTCCAGAATCAGATAATGAAAGCACACCGTCGCCGGTAAAGTCGCAGCCCAAGAAGGTACCGTACTGCAAGACCTACGAGCAGATGAGATTGGAGGAGATTCAGGCGGAGAGTGCGGCTTATTACTCGTACGACGACGAACCGTATGGCGGCGGACTCCACCGGAATCAAGCGGACATCGGTAAGGCGAAGAACAGTCGGGGAAATCGATGGATCTGCGTGAATCCAGTCAAGGAGAAGCAAGAGGTGCCAACGACGAAGCTGGACTTCGAGGTGCTGAGTCTGGAGGAGATCCGACGACGGAAGAAGGAGAAGGAAGTGGTCGTCAGAGCCGTGACGGGCACGTCGTCGGAGCCCTCGTCGCCGATCGAGACGAAAGGCGTGAAGAGGCATTCGACCGAGCACCGCGGCAAGGAGAGCGACAGCCCGCCGAAGAAGCGCAGGATCAGCACCGAGTTTGTGAAGAATAGCGAATCCATCGCCGCCGTCAAAGTACCGCCGGTGAAATTACGCAGGTCTCTGAAAAACACCGCCGCGAGTGAAACCGAGACGCAGTCGTGCAAAGACGCGAGTAAGCGAGGGACAGCGGAGGTTCAGGACATCGAGATGTCCTGCTGCGAGAGGCTGCAGAGTGATATTAACGATTCGGCTAGCGTGAGCAGGAGAGGCGAGGTGGAGGTCAGGCTGTGCGACAGCAGCACGAGGGAGGAGAGAACGCAAACGCAATCGGAGCAAGCGATGGAGGACAAGAAGTCCGTCGCCACGTACACAACCGAGGATATTAACGTGCTGTTCGATGCTCAGCCGTACACCACCACGGCGGAAGAGTATCTGAGGCTAGACGCATCGTCCGACGATATTATGAGGGATATTGAGGCCTTACTTAAGTAGAAAAGCATATGGTTTAATTGATTTTATGCGAATAAATGTAACTAGTTTCAAATTGATGAAAATGAAAATTTTAAAACGAGTTCACGCTGCGCCATTATTCATATTTGTTCATATCGCTACCTCTTTTCATGATTTTTTTTGTTGTAATATCTCTCACCTAACTTGTTATAGAAACGTTAATAGAAATTGTTTCACTTTTTACCAGTTTAATTATTATTTTGAATATTATTAATTTTTAATTATTAAATTTGAATTCAACTCGTTTTGAAATTTTTAGTTAGAATTAGCATATATCTCCCCATTATTAAGTCCATTAGAAGTTGAGCACTTAAACTGGAGAGATCGAGAATATCTACTATATATTATATATATATATTTTCTCGTTTCTCAAAACCTGAAAGCATTTTTCTTTCATACCAAATTGCGATAACTATAATAATATTATAGTTATATAGTGAAATTATGTAGTGAAATTATATGTATTGCAATTTTGTAATATTAGACGTCCGCTGGTTTAACCCTAGGATTACTCCTCCTCCTATTTGATAGTCTAATTTGATAGTCTTAATTAAAACTAGTTTTTTAAACAGGCTGAAAGAAGCAATTAAGCATGTGCATTTTCATGTGTATGTGCATTTTCTTTATTAAATAATTAATTACACTTAACATAGCCTTGTCATCTAGTGATGTTGATTTGAGTTAAATTTTATTTTCTCATCCGCAGAAGTAATTCAGGGTAAACCGCGCTGACGTATCGCAATAGATGATTTCTAGTGAGGATTTAGAGAATACAATATGTCTTCGAATGTAAATTAATTATTATGTCGAAATAGATATACAATTGTTACATTTGCAAGTAAAACGATGGTCTGTTTGCATCTCGCTTTCCTTCATATTCTTTTTAAGCGATTCGTTTGTTTCAACTTGGACGATAATGCAGGAGGGATCGTTGACATTTTTGCGGTTATCGAGAAATACTTGAGGAAATTCAACGAAACAGTGTCGAGGTAAGTGCAAATACAAGTTATCGGATCGAAACGAACACGTTCGGGAAGGAGTTGCGCTTGATTTCTAATAGGGAACCGTATGATCGTTATGTATTCTTTCACACGATCGGCATCTAGGATTAGACGCTTAGCTGGTTTAGCTCTTTGTGTTAATATTTATGTCAATTTGCTGTCTGATGCGAGAGAGGGAACGTACACGCTAGGATCTCTCACAAATGAATTCTCCAATTAGAAAACAAGCATTGAGTTAACTCTCGATTAAATGCACACACTATTTATTTAGAATGCATAATCGTACGCTTAACATACCTGGCCTAAGGGAAATCACAATCGGCATTTTCGGTCCTTCTTTTTTTTCGCGACCTTGCACCGAATATAAATTACGAATTGATTTTATCAAGTTACTTAGAGAATTAAAGTCAACTATATATATTTTTATATATAAATGACCGTCGATATTTTTACGATGTACACACAACAAACTCACGTTTATTATCTTCTTGCTCCGCTCGCATTACATGAGTATAAATAATAACATAATACCGACTTAGAAACTATTTTATTTCCTTTTCTCTTGTGCCTATAGAAATTACATCTACGAAACGTTGCGAATAAAAATTTCGCGAGAATCCTCGAATTCCTTTTTTTTCTCTTCGATTTTCACGCTAATTATTTTTACATGAGTTGCACATTGCCGACAGTACATATTTCTTTCTTATCACGTCTTACTTTGCTCGGTTCCTTTTCAAAGATATTAGCCTGAAATATAATTGTGTGAATAAAAAGGAGCTTGTAATTATAAAAGTGTACATATGTAGATGATATTTTGGAAAATTTTCCATGTAACACCTTGCCGATCATCAACATTTTCAACATTTTAATACATCATATCACCGGCTGTCGCTTGATGGACATATCAATATGTTTAACAAAGATTGTGTTTCTATGAAATATTGAAGCTTGATGTCGCGTCGAAAGAAAGAAGGAATGTTGCATATTAAAATACCAATACTGTTAGTAAAAAAGCAGCATTGGTTATTTGCCTATGAATAATAATGGCATATGATCGGAAAGGTGTCAATCGTAAGTATAAATACTAATTTTTAATACAGGATATGGGAATTTAATTTAACGATAAGATTCACGATTATACACAGAAATTGATTAATCCTCCTGTAACCCAATTCGGTATGTCACATATGTGTATTGCAATTACTACACGGATCGTCAATTTATTAAACAGATTCGATAGAGTCATTCAGTTAAAAATTTTGTTTTCACCAGTAATGGGAACGAATTTCTGAAATCTTCGGACAATTTTACCAATACGTATTAGCGAATTCGCAAACAATAATAGTTTTTCTTTGTTTTTATGAAAAGTTTCTGATGCACTTGTCGCAGAAACAAAAGTAGCGAATGCGAAATACGAATAAATTGAACTCGTTTCCACGCAGAGCTTTGGTTTGGAACAAAACGTATAGGAATAGTCCATCTCGATTTATCTACGGAATCAATCGCACGCGAATCAATCGTAAGATGCGGGTTTCCGGAGACTGGCGCAACCGTGTGTCGTTTCTCTCGGTGTTTCCTAGCAATCTTGTACACAATACGGATCGTAAACTAGGGAGACAAAGAAGCTCAAGTCTACGGAGATGAGGTCGACGTCGACGACCACCACGGTCACTGTAACCTCGGTGACCAATATTGCGCCGCCATATCGGGTGCTGGTTGACCTGGTACCGCGATTGGTACACTCACGCCAGGTGATATCAGACCTGCAAGAGAATTTATGGAATTTTAATTAAATTTGTGACACAAAATTCTTTCAGACCTAACTTAATTTCACAGCCGAGATGGCTCTTTCGAACATTAACATAATATACATGTCATTAGTCTTAAATAAAAGTAAAAACAATCTATCTATCAAGTATTTCTGTGTTACTGCATTTTTTCGTGACACAAACGGTGTGTTTGCAGGACATACAACTTCATACAACGTCTTGTTCTACCAGCATAAATTGCACATCAATCTACCAACACACACAATCCGTTAACTACTGAATAGAAATGAAAAGCGCTCAGGCGGCTAATGTAGGCGACACAGGCGAATAATTCACGGACACCGTAAAGCTAGATCGCAATTACTAATATCCACAAGAGGCGCGAGAGAGGGAGATCGGAATATCATCCGATCGCGCGAAGAGGGATACTTTACGGGGACAGGGGGAGACAGAAGCGTGTATAATCCATTACCGGCGGGCTCGATAGCGTGTTATCCATGGTAGCCGTAGTAGTAGTCCATCGGCTAGAGTGCAAGCAGCGAATGCAGTGAGTGCGGTAGACACTCACCGGTCGAGCTGGCGTTCTGATTGTACTGATTGAGGCTCGCCGCGTGGTAGGGTTGCGTCGGGCTGCAAGTCGGCCTGGCGCCGTAGCCTAGATGTAGCGGCTCGTAACTAGGCGGTCTCGCGACCCCGCACGAATAGCCGTTGTCCCGTTGCTGGAGACACGCGCCGGGACTCGGGCCAACGGTCATGCCCACGGTCATGCCCATCGGGCTCATGCCACCTCCGGCGGACAGCGAGGACATGCTGCTCGTCGTGTGTTGATTCTGCTGACTGGCCCCCGACATCGTGAAGCTCGGCATCGACGTCATCGGGCTGCAACGGCAAAAGAACATTTAAATCCGTCTTCGCTTCTCCCCACAAGCCAACATTCCTGCAGCGAAAATATGAATTCAAAACCCTTGAAGAGGCAAAATTGGCCGCATTTTATTTTATTGTGCGAAACAAATAATTTAATTATTTGTTTTTAAATTATATTAATACTTTAGCATTTGGATATAGGATGGATTTGTAAAAAATTAATCATCAGGTACGACATCGCACTAGAATTATCCAGTTAACATTCATTGATTTCGGATAATTTAGCCTTCAGAAAACATTTTCCGCTTTTCGTTCTCACCTGTACGAGTCGGGCATACTGGGTATTCCGGGGTACACGGCGGTGGGGGCAAATCCGTGGTGTATTCTAGGCGGCGAGGGTGGTGCTTGCGGCGGAGGCTGGCCTCCAAGTATCCCCGAGGGTGGCGGCGGCGTCGGATGACCAGCACCCACCAGACTCACGCCGGCACCGTGTTGCTGTTGCTGCTGCTGTTGTTGCTGCTGCTGCTGCTGCGGATTGTCCCTCCGTTGCGTACGCAATTTCTCCTCGCGCCGCCACTTTGCCCGCCGATTCGAAAACCAGACCTGAGTTAGTGAACGAGAAGACAAACGAAGATACAGGTCAATCGCTAGGCTACGGACAATTTTCGTATCGGCTGACAAATCGTGGATGAAACGGTTTCGTTACGTAAATGTGTTATAAATCGCAATATTGGATTATCGATCTTCGTAGCTTTCGTGTTTACGGTGACTGATAAAATAATGGACCTGTATATGCGTGCGGGATGATATCATGGAATCATACATGATGCTGGATTTGATAGGAATATGTAGAAGCTAAGAAATTATAATTAATAAGTTATAAAGCTATCGTTAACAAAAAAAAAAAACACCATTTTCTTTCAGATTCTGCCAACCAATGTCTTACACAACCATGACATAAGCAAGTATATAATCAATGTTTAAGAATTCAAAGGCGCGATAAACTTTTGTACTGATAAATAACGACATATAGTTGTTAATGAAGCGTCTCAGAAGAGTATCATGTCTTTTAATGCTAAAAATCATACTTGTTTGTTTCTTAGCGATTTTAGTGCCGATCTCGCCATTTATTTGACAGTCTCAATTATTCTACTTATTTTGACGTACTTTTGGCCAAGGCTGTGCAATACTGCGCTGAATAGTCACCTGTATTCGCGCCTCCGGTAGGCCGATCTTGCCGGCGAGTCTCTCCCTGGCGAACACATCCGGGTAATGCGTCCTCTCGAACTCCTTCTCGAGCGCGTCGATCTGCTCGTTGCTGAAGCTCGTGCGGTTCCTCTGCAGTTTCCTCTTCAGACGTAGACGCGCCTGATCGTCG